CCCTACACATGCAGAATTCAATGCCCTGCAGGTAAAATTTGTGAGTTTTTTTACTCAGAATTATCCCTGTGTCCTCCAGCTTCCAGCAGCAGAACTCTGCCTGCTCCCAGAAAAAGCTGAATGCTTGGTTTTCCACCAAAATTTATTTTCCACCAAGATTTATTTGGTTTTTCCACCAGAGAGATTTTAAACAAAGGATGCTTAAAATCAAGTCCCAGAGGGTGATGTGTGAATTTTGGATTTTGTGGAGACCTGGCAGAGGTCTCGGAGGTGCGGCGAGGAAGCGCCCGAGGGCGGAGTTGCTGCAGCTGATGGTTTCCACAGCCGTTTTCGTGGCGTGGGGGGATGTTGGCTGTGCTTTGCCAGCCCTCAGGCTCTCCCTGCTGCCCCTGAGCTGCTGTTTCCCCGGGCAGGACGTGGTCAGGCAGGCGCTGGGCGTCCTCCGCGCCGTGGCCGGCAACGACGACGTCAAGGACGCCGTGGTCAGCGCCGGGGCCGCCGACCTCATCGTGCTGGCCATCAACCGGCACCTGGGCAACCCTCAGGTACCCCCGGGTGCCCCTGGCACCCTCCAGGGTTTGGGAGTTCCTCTGGGTGGGGATGGAGCTCAGCTGGAGCTGCAGGTGTGTGCGTGTGAGCGGCTGGGAACGGGGAAACCTCTAGCACCAGCACCAGGCTGTGGAGCATTGAGTGTTTGTGTGAATTTAGGGGTGTTCCACTTTGTATTGGTTTATTTTTCTTATTCCTGAATCAGATGGTTAGCAGGGATGGTGTTTTACACTCTGGTGTGCAAAACACAGAGTCATGAAGGTTGGAATTATCTCCAAGATCATTATCCAACCCTCCCCTTGCTTTACGTGCAGCGGGAGAAACTTTAATTTAAACAATAAAACCAGCTCCAAAAGTGCCCCAGAAGGGAAGACAGCCCACTGTGGTCTGGCTGCAGGGCAGCTGTGCAGGCAGTGAGGTGCTGGCCTGTGTGTTGCAGATCTGTGAGCAGGGCTGTGCAGCCCTGTGCATGCTGGCCCTGCGCAAGCCTGAGAACTGCGGCGTCATCGTGGAGGGCGGCGGGGCCCTGGCAGCCCTGCAGGCCATGAAGGCTCACCCAGGAGAGGCAGCTGTGCAGGTAAGCCCCTCACAGCCCCTGCCGAGTCTGGCAGGGCTGCTTTGGGGGTGTTCATCTGGTTTTTGGGATTTTTTTCCCCCCTTTTACTCATCAAATCCTGCTGGGTTTTGAATGCAGCGGCTCAGTGCAGCCCCTCTGCATTTGTCACCCTGAGCTGCTCAGAGCAAAACTGAATTGAGCTTTCAAATCCACCTGAATGCAGGTTCTTAAAACTGTGCAATGCCACAGTTCCAGGCATTCCTTTTCCTCAGAAAGAGGATGGGCTCTTTCCAGCCCAGCCTGTGCCATCTATTCTCCAGAGTCAAACAAACCACCTGCATGGCAAAAAAATTCCCTCTGGTTTCTCCTGCAGGTTTCAGTAGGTTCTGTGTCCACTTTGGTGCTTTCCACAGATTAAAAAATATAAAATAATTTCTGAAGGAGTAGTTTGAGTGCCTGGAACAGCATGGAAAGGCAGGGCTGCTGCACTGGAGAATTTTTTAGTGTTATTTAAGAATTAATTGGTATTGCCTGGCTGGTGTTGGAGATTTGCACAGAGCTCTGGTTGTCTAAACTTCAACAGGGAAAAACATCCACGGATTTTATTCCTCCAGGGAGCAGTCGCTCTGCAGCATCTCACATTTGGACTTCTCAGGAAATACTCTTTAGCTGATTTGCTCTGTGCATGCCAAAACCTTCCATGGCTGCATTTCCCTGCAAAGCCCCTGGGCTTGGCTCAGGAGCCCAGTGACCTCCTGGCAAAGCCCAAAACTGACCCCTGGGCTTGCCTGCAGAGACCACACTGACCCCTGGGCTTCCCTCAGGACCTCACTGACCCCTGGGCTTGCCTGCAGAGACCACACTGACCCCTGGGCTTCCCTCAGGAACCCACTGACCCCTAGGCTTGCCTGCAGAGACCACACTGACCCCTGGGCTTCCCTCAGGAACCCACTGACCCCTGGGCTTGCCTGAGGAGCCCAGTGACCT